GTTTTGTCACCCCCGCCAGCATCTGTAAATTTACTACCGACCACAACAAATAAACCATTTCAACCTTGAAAAGTGCATCTGAATTTGTTTAGAACCAACTCATTAACTATTTGTATAAATTCAAAATGTTGACAAGAGTCAAAGTTTAACAATCGAACAGCTTCACTCTCAACATTATCAGGTACATCATTGACTTGGGGGCCAATAAACATCTTCACCGGCGGTGTTTACCGAAGTTCGACCCCCGATGTTGGAATCCTATCAACTCCCGTACCCCTCTCCCCAAATCAAATATTATCTTTTGAATCGACTCCAAACAACAAATACCCAAAATCTTTGATAAATCTTAAATTAAACTAAAAATAAAACGAACTATTTCATTAACAAATACACCTTTCGGTTTTGGTATTTTGGTTTAGAGATTAAATGACGTAGTACACAAAAACTGCTTAGCCATTGTTTCGTACTTTTTCACTTGATTCAATTCGATTACGAAACACAAAAAGCCCAAAAGAAAACCTTCAACAACTTTGCACACAAGTTTCGTAACTTGAAAGCAATTTTCACATTTTTCTCGAAGTTGGAATGTTCCAGACAGTTGTTTAAAGCTATAATAAACATGTCATCTTTCAAATCATTCGAAATAGAACAAAATCTCGTGAAATATCGACTACCATTTCAATGTTACGTCGATTAAGAATTCTAAAAGAATTTTGATGGTAAAATAAAGAGAGAACTTCGAAATGTTTTTTAATGGCGTGTCCTTTAAGCTACCATTTCAAGTAAATTCAAACAAAAAAAGATCGAGCCTCATTTCCCTGCATTTTGTGACCCGTTGGGACGAATCAGGTGCAGTTTAGGGCGTAATATTCCATTTTATTTGAATCTGGTTTGATAAGCATCACCTAACTATAAATTATTATCCAGAGAATAACCTACTATGATGTTATTTCATGCTATCGAATTTCTTCTTGATAGTTCGTTCTTCATGTAATTGTTCTCAGAACTTTAATCCACGAAACAATACTACAAACACCATCTGCGACAGTTACTAAATAAAATCCCCTGCGACTGATCGGTGCCACTTATTTTAACCCCTGATAAGTTTATTCTAACCTTATTAACTCTCCACTTCCTGTATTTAATAATCTAATTGTTTATTTTAGATCCGGGGATGCTGAATTTCATAACAAACATGACATTTCACAACTGGAGTCTCGGGATACTTAATTGCATTATCATCGTATGCATCGACAGGATTACCAAGTTAATACGCGAGCTTGAACAAAGCTTCAGTGAAGCATAACATCGCAAAATTGACCTTTGAAAGGAGACTGTATGCTATTTCAAAACATGTGCAAACAATAGTATGGGTGTTCTAAATTTCATAACAATTTCGACCTTTCGTTATTGTTAATCCATTTCCGGGCGTCAGTGGTCTTGCTCAGCTTGGTTGCCCTAGAATCAAAGTCCATGAGGTCTGCAAACATAGTCATATTATATAGTTGTCTTGTTGAAAAACAACTCATGTTGGTTTCGATACAGATTATTTTCTTACGACCGTTTTCAAAAGGTGTGTCTTTAGCTCTTAACCATCAGCTTGAAAATCTATTGTACTCGATTTTTTCAATGTCCGGCTTTTCAGACCACCATCCTATCTGAACGATATATGTGTAGTTTCTAGACGACAATATTGTATAAAAAAATATGTAAAACCGAAATTAGTCATGTAATTTCTGAGAAAACAAACTCACATTATGTGCACTCATCGAGAGCGATGCCGCGATGCCGAGTTGAAAAGCCTAAGTGTTCCAGAGGAGAGAGCATTGTCTGACAAATGCTACTCTTTTCCCCCTGTAAAACCAACAATCACCAGCAATCGGTGCCCGTAGAGGTCAGTGACTATTTGATATCATTCATTGATTGCGAGTGGGAGCTATATATTTATATACACTGTAATCCGTGGCAACACAATTTGTTTAAAATCAATTGTATTGAAAATATCCCCTGTACCTGACCGGAGACACTTTGTTGACTTCTCATGTTCAAGATAGTATAAGGTGCATTCGTGTTTAAAGAAACGGTTAGAAATGCACGACCCAAAACTTTAAACCACCCTCATTGCTACCCTCACATCCTCCCGATAATATTTGTTGAAATCCTTTCGTGTTTCTTATATATACACTTTTCCACATAAAATAATTACGGATTTACAGAAACAGCATCAAAAGGCAAAAATATCTCAATTTATCTGTCAATTAATACATAGAACTAGTTGGAATAATATCTGCAAAATTGATCAGAAATCGTAAATAAAAAGATCAGAGTACTTAAAATTTGCATTGAACAAACCCCGAATTGGCACTAGTCACATTATATGTCACAACCTGTAAGTTGACAGTCGTATAATATGGTGTTTCTAGCAACACACCAACAGACTTTCATACTCAAGAACGATATCATCCTTACGGTTATTTGTCGACTTTAATGAAATTAGATGAACTGGGAATAACTCGGATTGGTACAGACAACATTGTTACTTTAAACAGTCACCAGATTCAAATTATCTGGTTAACTTAGATTTACACATTCCCCTCAAGGACATACATAGTCATGTGTCACTGGGGATCACAATTGATCGCTATCATTTATTTTGTCAACAAAATATAAATCAGTCATCTTAATCAATAAAAAAACCTGTACAAATTCAAGGCTCATTTACAGATGATGAACATTTTCACTTACATTCATCAACTATTTTTAGAATAAAAGCTAAACCTTTGATCGAAATCAAATGAAACATTGCCAAACCTAGATCAATTCAAGGTCAACGAAATGGTAAGCGACTCTATAGCATGTACGGTATTAAAGATAAGGAAGCGAGTTTGTTTACAGCCTGATTGATTCGACTTCTCTTCAAAGCAAGAAATATTCATGATTCAAGACCCAGGACTCTCGATTGTTGACCCCATAGCTGGCCAAACAGGTGATGAAACGTAGCTATCGGCAGCCTAGATAGTAGAATGTAGAAATAGCCCAAAAGAAAGGATCAATGTATAGAATTAAGTATTTTCGTTGTTCTACAAACAACTGCGGTATCTGCTTTAAAAACCATCGCGAACAATGTCCCGAAAACAAAGAAATGGATGTGAAACCACCCATGTGTTTTCCTCTTATTAAAATTAAAGGGTTTTAAATGAAATTGTAGTGTTTCTATAATTTAGAATTACTGGCTTCATGCCCAGTGGCCTAATGACATGTTCAGTTAATATGGTTTGTGAAACCCTACTATTAGTATTGACAGGCAAACTGTAGCAATTTATAGTAAAATCGGTCTATCTGTTGGTCGGGCAGGTCCTGGGTGCACCTTCAATTCACTGATCAAGCGATATTATGTACTAAAACATTTTTGCAGGAAAGTTGGGAATAAGACAATAAGATTCAAGAACAGGATGGAACGGCAAATCTTTGCACATTGGTTTCTTTCAATGAATCATAGAAAGGCATATTTTACACTCTCTACACTATCCGCCATAGCCGACGGCTATGCAATTTACAATATAACAAAATGTATCCCAATTTTCACGATTGTCAATTTCATTTGTACACTCTATAGAAAGTGTAATGAGGCAAGACGTCGCCCTGTCTTACTCCTATATAATTATCAATTATTACGGCTTCTTAAACTCATTTTAATCGATAAGAGCTTACTATTGTTAGAAGGGATGGGCTTGGGGACAGCGAGGGCATATTTACGGTGTATCAGATATGCCAAGAGTGCCTTTAAAATAAGTATGAAACGCTTTTTTGCGATTGTTTGTTAGAAATATTAGCGACATAATCACATCATGAGGTTTGAATCGGCATTTGATGCACAAGGCTTCATTGACTCATTATTTTATTGAATTACAGGCTGGGTCTTCAAATGATGATTTGTGAATTCAATTTGAATTTGACTGCCCGTTTTGATGTTTTGAAAAGTGGATTTGAAAAGATAGAGACTAAAGTATGGACAGAGCGGAACATAAAACCATCCTCTACACAGACAACAAAGATACCAGGTAAGGGTGTTTGCTAAGTTTAAAAATACAGGGGATTTAAGTATGGACACTTCGGAACAGTAAACCAACCTGTGCAGAGACAACAAGGAGTTGATGGCCAGGTCAGAAGAGTTTGAAGAGGCTGATATCACAACCAAACCTGCTTAAAATAATATTTATGCATCGTTTGAGCTGCCTTTATTACTAGTTGATGTCGAGACTATGGGGTTTCAAGTTGATTTGATAACACTGAGGCGGGTGAGACTATGTTGGACCCCGACCAAAATCATGTTAAGGTGGTTGTATAACATCAAATTATTAAAACAATATCTGTACTGATCACAAAAGGATCAAACCATGATCCATGTAAGATTTTGTCATGTAGTCAATTTCAAGTGATGATGCTTAGGCAGGATCATTTTCCATACGTAAAATACAAAAGCAAGTTGCACACACGTTGATTTTTATAACCACACCGCAAGCACCACAGTAGTTGTAGTCCAAGTATGCATTTCCATACTTCAACCACAATACACATTCTTTTAAAACTAATAATATTTTAACAACCCCTATAGGTTTCAAGATGGTGACTGGTGACCAAAGGCCTGAACTAATAATCAATGTTTACTTAGATAACAACAACTTCATTTGAAATACGCTAGGTTCATATTGAAGTTACCAGACCAGAAATCGTTTTCAAAATTGAATAAAGGTCTTATAAGGTCATTTAGAGATTGTTGTGATAACTTCGCGTTGAGTTGCTTTGCTAAATTGCTCAAATCTAAAAAAAAAATGGGTTAACATCCCATCATTCAATCGAATCAAGTCTGATATCACTTGTAAATGAAGACCAAATGTATAGTGGAATGGAGAGCGAAATATTTTCAATTCTTTGTGCTCTTGTTACCATATTTTTATGCTGACAAATGGCGAATAACGAGATTTAAATGACTAAGACAATTCAAAATCAAATTTTATTTTCTTTAAGATTTCATCAAACATAATTCTGTGAGAAGGTTGAAGTAATTTAAATATTTTGAATATTTTGGTATAACTTGCGAATTTTGATCAGAAGTTAAGAATAGTAGACGATGAACAGTGCTTGGTTGTATTTTAAATTTCGGGTTCCGGTGCAGGGCCGGGACCAGGAGCTACTGGTGGAACTGGTACAGGGGCATCTGGTCTTGGTGCTGAAATGAAAAGTATAACTTTTTGTGGTACGACTTTTAAGTTAAATTGATAGCTTTTGAAAGATCTGAAATTTGAAATCCGAAAAATGTGTACTTCAGACCCGTGAAGAACGTGCTTTGGCATGATTTTGTTTGAGAAGACAGAGCTTACGCATCAAATCTTAATTGCTTAATGCATCAGTGTGGATATAAAAGCTGGTTTAAAAGAAAAAACCCAGGCCAAGTATAAAGCTGCTGAAAACTGGAACGAATAAAAGTCTTAACACAACACGAACATATTCAATTCAGGCGTATGAGGAGAAAAAGAAGTGAACCCGCTGAAATGCTTGCGAAATTCTGATCATGACAACTGATCGAAGAAAGGTAGTTAACTTTCCAAAATTAGAGGAAAGTAAGCGAATCCACTGCATTTAAAAATGTTATCATCAGTACATACCCAATTCTAGAGGTATAATATCGTGTTTAATATCAACTATCCAGAAAGCTGGGATATCATGGCAGTGTTTCTCAATCAAATCTCCAGCAAATCGTCTGACTAAACCTGGTTCAATTGGTTCCCTACTTGGTATAACTCGTCTCATATCAATTGGTTTTACTTTCTGTTTCTGGAATATTAGAATACGCCATATATGGATATAGTGATCAGTTAGTCTTATACTTCCATTTGATGGAAATCAGAGAACTTACTCTATTTTATTTCCGTAAATGTAGATTATAAGTATTATGAATTTCTTTATTAGGTCCAAGAAGATTTATAGGATAACCGTTATGATCTTCTTTGATTTAGTTCATTGCATATTAGCATCACAATTATTGTAAACATAACTTTAACCCTGTGCCAGTGCCTTATATTGAATAGTAACTTATTACTCTTCAATCACCCTAATCTCTAGCTAGACATCGTCCATTCTTGAACATCTGAATATCATTCTATCGACCGTTCGGTTAGGTGATCAATCACTGTTGTACTTACATGCTGACTAATTTTAAGAAACATAACAATGTACAATGGGGAACTTTTCGATCCCAATGGAAATCCAAACATTGTCCAATCCTGAATATCAGGAGACCTTGTCTGTTCTTAATGGGACTCCAGACTTTATACAACTTTCGTGTACGCTGTATGTAAAATGTGCAATATAGTACTATGGTGACTTTGAGTTTACCTGTGACCATATCTTCTTTTTAAATCATTTTTAAACGCATAGGTTTCAAATCAAGTCATAAAACTGTTAATATTAGGGTTTTACCTTAGCGATATCTTTCAAGGTTTTATCGAATGGTTTCTTAAGTTTATCAATATAACACGTATTGGTGTTGAGATCTCTGTATGCTACTACTAACTGTAATAAATGGTTGACAACAAATGAGCAAGACAGTCAGTCCTGTGTCAACTTTATGGTTAAAGAAGACATGTACAGACACTCCAAAAAACAAGACAAAATACAGAAAGAACATTCATAAGTTGAAAGCTTTTGGATTCATCCCTCACACGATAGACTTGTTCGAATATTTGGTTGGTATTCTAAAAAAAATTCTATTTAGAATTGTTCAAAATGTCTTCCATGTACCCTCAATGGTGTTTGCTGAGCTGGTAACCCTGATTGGGAACCAATGATCTATACTGTTCACATTTGTACATACCAAAACGAGAGAGCACTTAAGAAAACCTATTACCTGCTTGTAATCCATGAGTATATCGGCAGGGTAGATAATTCCTGATCGAGCGTTTTTGATAGTAATTAATTTTCTATCGTAGTCTACTTCAACTAGTTCTGGGTAAGCTCTTCCATTGATGATTGCTTGGTGTTTGAAAACCTGAAATAAAAAGTCAATTCTTGCGAGTATTTGAGCTGACGAATGTTCCTGTTCAGTTATTATTTTTTTTTTTTGCAAAGATAGCATCCATTTCCAAAACTGTATGCCCTGATAAGGATATTAAATCCGAGTATCCATCAACCAACATGATGAGAAACCATCGCAAATATTATTCCAGGTGAATTTGGTCGCCGTGAAGGGTCCATTGGCACAGTGAAGGTTATGGAAAATGTAAACTATTCACCAGAATTTGAACGATCAACGCCTGAAGCATAAGACTCAATCGTAATTTACGCGGTATTGGAACTTGTATCAATTAAGATGAAGTCGGAATTATTTCCTTTATATAACCATTCGGTATCTTTTAGTAAGTCATGTAACGGTCCAGTATATACAGAAAACACGCACCTGTTTATGTACAGCGGTAAAATGTTGTTTAATAGCGAAAATACCGAGTATACCAGCAGTAATAATCACAGCAACACCGAGTATAACTAACCAGGTACATCTCTTTCTTACTCCACCAACTCGGTCTCGTACCAACATCTTACACTGGGCTAGCTTCAGCTTATACTCCCGTTTGTCCTGCTTCCGTTCATGTTTCAACTGCTTCCTCACGATCTTCACTTGTTGCTTCTCAATCTTCTTGGCATGTTTAGCATCTTCAGCTTCTTTCTCGGCGTTCAAGTCATTCTCGTTCTCTTTGTCTGAGGGTTGGAATTCGAGTTTTTCTGGTTTCTTCAGGTCCTGTTCCGGTATCTGAAAGATTTTCAAGTACAATAACTTTTGTTGAACAAAAGTCCTAGACTTCAACCTATAATTTAAGGCGGGTACTACTCTTTTAAAAATATTGAGATCTTCATTGTGGCTGAATGGTTAGGTCAGTTACGACGACAACAGATTTGAGACATTTGGACAAGATAGAGCCCTTTTTGAGATTTCAAAAGAGAATATAGACCGTTCTGAACTTCGGAATACCAGTAACAGCAATCATCGTCTATTAAGGGGATTGTGAAGAGTTTTCTAAAAAAAAAGTATGTGTATCGGGGACAAAGAAAGCAACAATTTTCAGTCAAATGTCTGTGGTTCCTGCAATTTCGCAATTCCGGTAAGTGACGTAATCAAAGACATAGTTTAAGTGGAATTGCAGGAACCACAGACGTCTGACTCACAATGCCTTCAATCCTTCAATGGTGTCCATCACTGAAAATTCGATTATTGCAACAATTTTTGTGTAGAAAAGATCTACATACCTGTATTTTGGTATCCTGTTTTATATTTGGATCGTACGTTGGTGGAGACATATTGTAATCCTTAATCCTTCAATAGTTTTTCTTTAATCCAACGTTTGACCAGTACTCCGAAAATAGAAGCAAAGACTGCTTCAGATTGTTAGTCACTGAAACCGAATTTAGAAAGAAATTTTAACAATATGCAAAAAAAAGTCATGTGACAAATCTGGTGACGTGTTTCTATTATAAAACAAAAAATGACACAACGTGTACCGACGATTTTACAAATTTGTAACTAAAAATAGACCTTCTCTGTTACCCTCTATGGCGTTTCTCTACGTGTACGCAAGGATATTTAAAAAAATCTTACATAAAAACAGCCTATTAATATACAATCTTGTTAAATAAATATATTCGCCTGTCACCAAATTTTACATAACATTCAGGAAATGGCTGAACGTCTTGTCAACTTTGTGTTCCGTATACTGTTTATGTGGAGTATATGTCACTTTTCTTTGGCTTGTGTAACATTGTAATATTAAGTGATACATTTACGACGTCACAAGACTTTCTTAAATCAACTACCGTCAAAAATATGAGACAATCATCTTCGTTATTCAAAGTATTATTCGTGGTGGTTATTTTGCCTTCAAAGACTTCAAATGATATTCTGATGCTATTCAATGGTGCTACATGTAAGATAAGCGTATAGACCTCATCGACGATGCCAGAAATGGAATAAGTATTTTTTATCTTCACACGATCATGGAACGCATAATTCATGCAAGGAAGAACTGTTACAGAGTTTCTAGCCAACGAATATCGTTGACAATTCTATTTGCACCACCAATTTGAGATGCAATGTCTCCGGTACATTAAGTCCAGAACAAAAGGTTATCAGATTTTGACGCCACTATCGCAAGTACCATTTGACTTAAAGCATGTAATAATGATCTGGGGCCTTATTCTCAAAAACTTAATTAAGATAAAATCCAGATTTTAAGAAATACAGTAATATGATTGGACAACAAAACTAAATTTAAAATCAATTTTAGTGATTGACCAATGGATGAATGGAACACTAAAATTATCTTTAGTTAAATTTTCGAGTATAAGGCCCCTGGTCAAATGTCAAAATATAAGAGAAAAAATATGACAGAAATAGTAATGGCTTAGAATGAAGCCATGCAAGCATCCATGTATCAACCAATGTATCATCAAATACACATAAGAAAAATTCAAATTTGTATGACCACTTCTACATGTCGAAGATGATGACATTTATGACTTATGTACGCCATGTATTTAAAAGATGTTTTATTTTTATTTGGCAGAGCTGTGTACTAAATCTTACAATTGTACTTAACACGTTCAAATCTTTTGTTTAAATTCAAATTACTTAAAAACTCAAAACTTTTGTCTTTAAGTCTAGTTGCGTGTTGAAAGAGAAACCACAATTTATTATCACTAGCTGAGGGTAAATGTTTTTAAAAGATTTTTTTATTATATTAGATTTAATAAATTATTGTTTTAAAATAAAAAGAGACAACAATTAAACAGAGAACATTTCCTGGTTCTTTTACTTTCTTTTTGTAATGACTTAATATTTGATGACGTCATTCTAAATTTAGAATTGCCTAACCTCTATCATCCAATTCAACTTTGTCTACGCACAGCTGCTACGATGTCCTCGTCGTACACATGAGAGGTTTGGGTGTCAGAGGTTATGATTTGGCCCTAGTCGAAACAAGATAACAAAGCAAGTGAGATTTCAGTTGGGTTAACAAAATAAATTGTTCAGGTGCAAGTGCGATTTCAGTTGGGTTAACAAAATAAAATGTTTTGGTGCAAGTGAGATTTCAGTAGAGCTCAGAAAATAAGTTATTCTGATGCAAGGGAGATTTCAGTAGGGCTAAGAAAATAAGTTATTCTGATGCAAGGGAGATTTCAGTAAAGCTAAGAAAAAAAGTTATTCTGATGCAAGGGAGATTTCAGTAGAGCTAAGAAAATAAATTGTTCTGATGCAAGGGAGATTTCAGTAGAGCTAAGAAAATAAGTTATTCTGATGCAAGGGAGATTTCAGTAGAGCTAAGAAAATAAATTGTTCTGATGCAAGGGAGATTTAAGTAGAGCTAAGAAAATAAATTGTTCTGATGCAAGGGAGATTTCAGTAGAGCTAAGAAAATAAATTGTTCTGATGCAAGGGAGATTTCAGTAGGGCTAAGAAAATAAGTTATTCTGATGCAAGGGAGATTCAGTAGATCTGATGCAAGGGAGATTTCAGTAGAGCTAAGAAAATAAATTGTTCTGATGCAAGGGAGATTTCAGTAGGGCTAAGAAAATAAGTTATTCTGATGCAAGGGAGATTTCAGTAGATCTGATACAAGGGAGATTTCAGTAGAGCTAAAAAAATAAGTTATTCTGATGCAAGGGAGATTTCAGTAGAGCAAAGAAAATAAATTGTTCCGATGCAAGGGGGATTTCAGTAGAGCTACGAAAATAAGTTATTCTGATGCAAGGGAGATTTCAGTAGAGCTAAGAAAATAAGTTATTCTGATGCAAGGGAGATTTCAGTAGAGCTAAGAAAATAACTTATTCTGATGCAAGGGAGATTTCAGTAGGGCTAAGAAAAAAAATTGTTCTGATGCAAGGGAGATTTCTGGAGGGCTAGCAAAAAAAATTGTTCTGATTCAAGTTTGTAATGTTTAACCATCAGGTTTATATTTTGAGTGGGTGAGTGGTTTTATTTTCCTCTCATTCTTACTTAACTGCGAGGCATTCCACATGGATTGCTGCTTGGGGTTTTTTGATGTGAATTGAGATATGGTTGGAAGTCAATATTTTTCTTCCATCAAATTGCATAAATATCCAACAGGGTTAAGTGCCGTACCAGTGTATCCAAGTAACAGCAAGATGTCAGTGACTACTCGGTGAATTATTTGTTTATTTATGGATTAAAAGATTTTATTAAAATCATAAATAATGACGATAATCAAAATAATAGTCTAAATGACTAAATAAAATATTATCATAATAAAGTGCAGTGGTTCCCTACCCTCTGGTCCAACACAGGAAGTGAAAGGCATCCTTTAATATTACAATAAATATTATTTTGTATTAATAACAATTGTTAAGCTTTCAGTTCTTCATCTGGCCACGCATGACGTAGTCAAATTTGGTGATAAGTTAGACCAAAAGTTTGAAATTGTTTTTATTTGTAAAATGTTACATGAATACTTAAAACCAATGATTTCAGTACAAATACACATAAAAAGGTTTTAAAGGGTATCTGTACTGAATGAGTTAGAGTTTTCCCACATCTGCCTTCTGACCATCAGAAAAACCTTCAACGTCTCCATCAACAAGTTCTTTCCTCTGAGTTTCTAGGCTTTTGGCAGTGTTGTTACACCAATCTTCAGATGTGCTAATTCCACTTAAATTCGTCTCTAACCCAGGGTCGTTTTTTGAAATACTTTGTTGCGATTGTGTATTCTTCTTTATAGCAAATCCATATCTGATCTTCAACAACTTCAAGACTCGTCTATTGAAAACAAAAGCCAAGAAGATAACAAAGCCTTGTGCACCGACAAATAGAGTAAACAGATAAGCGAATACAATGAATCCCGTTGCTTCAAACAGAAAGGCGAAGACCCAAGTAAGTCCTGTAATGACAGATAGTTTCAGGCAGGCCATCATGCTGATCTGATTCTCCTGTGTGGATTGAATCTTCTGATGCCTTTTCAGCTTAATGAAGGTCCAAGCAAAGAGGATGATGTTGGTCAATACCAGAAGACCAACTGGTAAAGCAAATCCTAATCGACGTCCATTTGATCCTGAGATATAACAAGACGATCCTCCATACCCAAGAGACCCATCGTTCAACCAGGATCCAAGAGCCAATGCCCCAATAATCATGGCGGAGCATCCAAAGCAGTACAGAATTGAGTAAGCCATCATTTTGCGTTTGGAAATATGTCTGGACTCCATCGGGAAGTTCAGCTTATAGAAGAGACTAACTGTGCAGACGTTCATCCAAAAGGTGGAAGTCAACCAGGAAAAATGCGTTGCTATTCCAATCATTTCACACACCCATTTAATTTCCGTTTGTTCCGCACCGAACTCGAAAAGAATTTGAGCCACAAGCAGAGAAAGGCAAAGAGCCATGATTCCCAGACCAATGGATGTCCGCATGCTTTTGAACAAGCAGAAGATCACCAACGTTATTAACAGAAACAATACAGAAAGACATGTGCAGATGCCAGACAAGATACCCAAAGCGGTTATTTTTGGACTCGTTTTGGTAGTATTGGCAGTTAGGCGATCGAAGTCGCAGTTTAACTTTTCTACTTCAGCATCAAGATAGTCATCCAAGCAGACGATAAAACGTCCCTCGCCATCTTGGGAAAAATCCGGTGTAGCGATTGTTTTGTTGGTTGCTTTAATGGTCAGTGTTTTGTTGTCAGTCGATAGGATCGTTTCATCCACAGACAAATGGACTCTTGGACACGATAAAAGCCTAGTTAATTCTACATTTCTGAAACTCTCTATGTTCACGTCCTGAGAGTAATCCAATGTGGTTATTTGTCGAAGATACATTGGATAATCCTTGCAACTACTTTTGTCGTCAATATTCATCCTAAAGAAGTTATTTTCAACTGGCCCGAAAGCGAGCTTTAGAGACTGATATTGCATTGTCAAATTCAAGTCATTGTCAATCAGTGAGAACATTTCTTGTTCGAATACGTCGGTATTACGTGGTTCTCTAAAATAAAGACGACATACAAAAGTAAATAAAATCGTCATGCTAGTATTTTGTCCGCAGCTGGATACATAAGTAGGCTTGTAAGTACAAAGATATATGACTACATTGAAGGATTCCATACGATACATGAATTTACCCAGGAAATCACTCTCGATATCAGGACGAAGGTCGCTTTCGTTGAATACCAGTCGACCATACAGATTAAGAGTATACAAATGCGATCTGGCGACTTTATAAACCGATTTGCACTTCCCGTCTTTGTATTCCTTTTCTTCAGAACATGAGGGATTTCTACAGTCACACTGAAACGAAAATACATTTCCTAATGAAGTGGAGTTTTACATCCTTACTAGTTGCTGTCATACACCATCCTTGGATAATGTAATGAAAGTGATTGACAATTACAGTGAAATGTTAAATACACTGTACAATATGACTAGCTAAATAGCTTCTCATGAGGGCTGTGAAATTGCCCAAGCAAGTCGCACAGTGGAATATATGTGCCAGAGTCGTGAGCATGTTCTGTGAATGATAGATTGGTTTGAAAGCAAAAATATACACGACATCTCATTCCAATGGAGATTCTGATGTTAACCATATTTGGACTAATGAGATCAAGATGGAATGGGGTTTTACTTTCTATTTATCTGCATCTAAAAGTACTTACTGTATAGGGGTCAGTGACTTGGCACATGTCATCATCAGTAGCATCACTATCATCTTCATCATCTTCGCCTAGTTCCAACAGGGATGTTAGAGTCACTCGAAAAACATTTGGCTCACGACCAACTGCCTCGGCTTTTACAACTTCCCACGACAAGTATGTGTTGCACATGTAACAGAAGATATTTGTGTGGTATCTAACTTGATTTTCCGGAAAAGTCAAACAACCTCGCTCAATCAAAGGATCATATACACCCCAAAGACCGGTAGCGTTACAGATCCTTGGATAGCTGACCGTGTTCCCGCAAGGACGGAAGGGAATGGAATCTGGTCGAATGAATTCTATTTGACAGGATTGCTCTTTCACTGCCGCCAAGTATACGTCTTCTTTTCTGTTGAAAGGTGGTTTCGGGGGATCCCTCTCACAATATATACCAATATCCCATTTCAATGCTGGAGAATCTACGCCATGGCATTCGGCACAATACTTATTTCGATACGTAACGTTGGTGTCCGGATCTGAAACAACTTGCATTGATCTCCAATTGTCCGGTGATGTTTCTACACACTTTGGTAAAGGTTCTCCATCTCTGAAATCTTTGGGACATTCGGTAACGTATTTACTGAAAAGGCCATGAGCAGGTATGGATGTAGGTTCACAGACATGGTCCACAATCTTTGAATTGTTGATGTAGTGATAATCAGGGCAACAGTCCCCATAATAATTACAAGCAACGTCGCAGTAACACAGCTCACAATATTTAGTAGGTAACTCTTCGAATTCCTGTGTGCATGACTGCTTACAGTAGATTCTGTAAATCTCCAATGCCTGTGATTCATAGTCGTCATAAATCGTAGCAGCTTCTTCAAACATTGAATCATACCTCGTTGCATTATCGTTTGAAAGATCAAAATTATATCCACCATTATAATAGCCGTACATAGGAGAACTGGACTGGGTGATTGGAATTGAGATCCAGCAAATAACTAGTAGCAATAGCTTAAGCATCGTGTATAGGCTGCCTTGGTTTGTGCTTAATTAGTGTTGAGATTTAATTGAACATAAAAAGCACTTATCCAGATAGCAATGTTTACATCAAAGCACTGATTCACGTCGCAATGTTTACAAGTAAGCGCTGGCCCAATGCATACTGTTTACACTAAACACTAAAAGTCCACATTGAAATTCTCGCAACAATTTTTGTAAAAAACAATGGTCCAGGCGAATAAGTCCATATAAAGCAATGGCACAGGTTACAGAGTCCCAATAAGTGTACTGGCCAATGTCGTCAAGTTAGAACCCGTTCCTAGCAGAATGTCCAATGTGGTCGTTGTGTGAGTCTCTTTCAATCATTTGATAAACCAAATGAAGCTTTAAAAACTTAGGTGCTTGAACTCTATCAGCCACACACCTATTTATATATCTGAATGGTCTGGGGTCTTTATATGCTAGGACCTTTAATGGAAAAATCCCATGCTTTAGTTAAAATAGATATAAGACAATTAAGGGATGAACCCAGATTGTAGGATAGAATCATCTTTCCCTAGGTAAGAATTAAAATATTAATATACTACTTATATATTATATTCCCTTACTGCGTTTAATTTTACTCTAAAGCGAAAGGTATATGGTGTTCCTGATCGCCATTAATCTAACCTCGTTGATCTTTAATAACAAACATTACTACTTATGTACTCTAAAACTTTTCCGTAATGATATCACACATTACCTGTAATTTAACAAGCTATCTTGTCAGTTGATTGCATGGTAATTTACGCCCACATGCATCTATAAATATAATATACAATATAATGTGGTCGTATATTGTCGTCGCACCTGTCAGTCCGTCGGTCCACAATTAGCTTGTGAACACAACAGAGACCGCCGTTTTATCTGATTTTAATGGAATTTTGTGTGATCATTTATATATATATAATGAGATCTTCGATGAACGGTTTTTGAGTAATTGTCATTGACTCAGTTACACCGCATCAAAGCCAGATTTTTATGCATATATGATTTGACACAGATTGGCGATCGCCCTATCGGGGAACAGGGGGTATTTTGCTAGACAACCACTTATCCAATAATAAAGATCTCATCACTATATATATACATACATGCCAAATTCGTTAAGATCAGATATAACCCGTGTCTTGACGAACCGACAGATGGACGAAGATAAGCAACAACAATTTAAGTCCACATTTTCAAGTGGGCGTATGAAAACGAACAGTGGAAGCGTTGGAGCTCGAGAATACCATTAACGTTCTCCGATATCGATATCGTGATGTTACGAGTTATAAGTGTCCATGAGAATGACCGAGAATTTAGAAAATCTTATTTCCATATATATTTCCAGAAATCTAATCCTCCTAAGTTAAACACTGCTTTAATTAAGGGATTAGAATATAATGCCTCAGTGAAAAATACCCATCATCGGATTAACCAATTAATGTCCCTTCTATATAAATACCTTAATCCAATCTGAGAGATCAATAGATGCGTAGCTGAAAGAGTTGAAGCATCATCTCCTTAAAGCTTCATTTGGCGTTATCGAGATCCAGGACAGTTTACATTCTGTTAGAAGGGCATTCACTGATGCGTTCATTTTGACTTTATGACATTGGCCTATGCACTTATTGGACTCTGTGACCATTGCCATTGACTACATTTGGACTTATACATCTGGGACATTGCCTTAGTTTACAAAAGTTGTGAAACAAACTTCAATTTAGACATTTTGTTCTTTTATGTGAACAGTTCGACTTTTGCCAGCTACTTGTGATTAAATCGCTTCACTATTTTACCCCATCCATAACCAAAGGGCCGTGGAAACATGATGCTAGTGCTTTTAATTATTTGCTGGATCTTCATTCAAACCTCTCAATCCAGTTCTCCTGTGTACGGTTATTATATTGGTGGATACTATTCCGATGCTTCCGACGATAATGCAACAACATATGATTCGGCGTTTGAGGAAGCGTTAACGAAATATGACGACTATGAATCACAGGCGTTGGAGATTTACAGAATCTACTGTAAGCAGTCATGCACACAGGAATTCGAAGAGTTACCTACTAAATATTGTGAGCTGTGTTACTGCGACGTTGCTTGTAATTATTATGGGGACTGTTGCCCTGATTATCACTACATCAACAATTCAAAGATTGTGGACCATGTCTGTGAATCTACATCCATACCTGCATATGGCCTTTACACTAAATACGTTACCAAATGTCCCAAAGATTTCAAAGATGGAGAACTTTTACAAAAGTGTGAACAAACATCACCGGACAATTGGAGATCAATGCAAGTTGTTTCAGATCCGGACTCCAAAGTTACATATCGAAATAAGTATTGTGCTGAATGCCATGGCGTAGGTTCTCCAGCATTGAAATGGGACATTAGTATCTATTGTGAGAGGGATCCCCCGAAACCACCTTTCAACAGAAAACAAGACGTATACTTAGCCGCAGTGAAAGATGAATCCTGTGTAATTATATTCATTTTAGCCGATTCTACTCTCTTCCGTCCTTGCGGGAACACAGTCAGCTATCCAAGGATCTGTAACGCTACTGGTCAATGGGGTGTATATGATCCTTTGATTGAGCGAGGTTGTTTGACTTTTCCTGCAAATCAAGTTAGATACTACGCAAATATCTTCTGTTACATGTGTAACACCTATATGACGTGGGAAGCTTTAAAAAAAGAGGCAGTTGGTCGTGATCCAAATGTTTTTCGAGTGACTCTAACATCCCTGTTGGAACTAGGCGAAGATGATGATGATGATAGTGATGCTACTGATGATGACATGTGCCAAATCATTGACCCTTATACAGTAAGTACTTTTAGATGCAGATAAATAGGCCGTAAAACCCCATTGCATCCTGACCTCAACTGACCTCAGAACCTCCATGAGAATAGGATGCAGGGTTTTAGTAAGGCACAGAACATGCTTACGTCTCTGGAACATCTTATACTACTGTACGACTGGCTTAGACAATTCTGCATTCCTTTTGAGGGCCACTTAGCTTATAATATTTATTGGTTTTTTTTAACCTAGTATTAAATAGCGGCTGTGGGTTCCGATCTCGATCGTAGTGCGATAGTCCGATGACCTTGAATAAGTCATCTTTACACATGATTCCAATCGACCCAGCTGTAAATTGGTACGGATAATCCGGGAAAAATCAATACCAAGGGGTTTGGTCAAGGACCAGCTGGTAGAAAGGATCCTTGACTGTGAACCTAAGTTCTTATCCTTGTAAAATATAGTTGATTGTTTCTTTCTTTCTTACTATAACTAAAGGTTTCTATGGGCAATTTTATTAGATTATCTAAGGATGGCGTGCCACAGCAACTAGTAGGGTGTAAAACTCCACTTAATTTGGAAATGTATTTTTGTTTCAGTGTGACTGTAGAAATCCCTCATGTTCCGAAGAAAAGGAATACAAAGACGGGGAGTGTAAAGCGGTTTATAAAGTCACCAATTCCTATTTGTATAACCTCTGTCTGCATGGTGTCATGGTTTTCAACGAAAGTGTCCTTAGTACAGATGTTGAAAAGGGTTTCCTTGAGTTCTTCACGGATCGTATAACCTCCCTAAATGCTGACATATATTCTTGTATTTACGATCCGACGTATATTTCCAGCTGCAGACAAAATACCAGCATGACGATTTTATTTACTTTTGTATGTCGCCTTTATTTAAGAGAACCAAGCAATAGCGACGCATTCGAACAAGAGATATTCTCATTGATTGACAAGGAATTGAATTTGACTATGCAATATCAGTCAGTAAAGCTGACTTTTGGTGATGATTCTTGTCCAGTCGAGAATGACTTATATTTTATGAATTATGATGGCACACGTCGCTGCAGGGATTATCCAACCTATCTTCGAAAGGTCAGCACAATGGATACATCTACTGGCATAAGAATTTATGAGAGTGTCAAAGACATAGAATTAACTAGGCTTTTGTCGTGTCCGAGGATCCATCTGTCTGTGAATGAAACAATTCTGTCTACTGACAACAAAACACTGACCATTAAATCAACCAACAAAACCATCGCTACTCCGGACTTTTCCCCGAATGATGAGAGAGGTTTTATCGTCTGCTTGGATGACTATCTTGATTCTGACGTAGAAAGGTTATACTGTGACTTCAAACGAGAAGCTGCCGTTACGAGTCCAAAAATAACCGCTTTGGGTATATTGTCTGGCATCTGCACATGTCTTTCTGTATTGTTTCTGTTAATAACGTTGATGATCTTCTGCTTGTTCAAAAGCATGCGGACATCCATTGGTCTGGGAATCATGGCTCTTTGCCTTTCTCTGCTCGTGGCTCAAATTCTTTTCGAGTTCGGTGCGGAACAAACGGAAATTAAATGGGTGTGTGAAACGATTGGAATAGCAACGCATTTTTCGTGGTTGGTGTCTACGTTTTGGATGAATTTCTGCACAGTGAGTCTCTTCTATAAGCTGAACTTCCCGATAGAGTCCAGACATATTTCCAAACGGAAAATGATGACCTACTCGACTCTGTATTGCTCTGGAAGTTCCGCCCTGATTATTGGGGCATTGGTTCTTGGCTCCTGGTTGAATGATGGGTCTCTTGGGTATGGGGGATCGTCGTGCTATATATCAGGGTCAAGTGGACGTCGTTTAGGATTCGCTTTACCAGTTGGTCTTCTGGTGTTTACCAACATCATCCTCTTTGCTTGGACCTTCATCAAGCTGAAAAGGCACCAGCAGGTTCAATCGACCCAGGAGAACCAGATCAGCATGCTGGCCTGCTTGAAGCTATCTGTCATTACAGGACTTACTTGGGTCTTTGCCTTTCTGTTTGAAGCAACGGGGTTCATTGTATTCGCTTATCTGTTTACTCTATTTGTCGGCGCACAAGGCTTTGTCATTTTCTTGGCTTTCGTTTTCAATAGACGAGTCTTGAAGTTGCTGAAGATCAGATTTGGATTTGCTAAAACGAAGAATAAACAATCTCAACAAAGTATTTCCAAAAATGACCCAGGCTCAGAGACGAAAACAGATGGAACCAAAACCTCGGAACATGAGGGTACCAACAAATTTTAATTTACGTCTGTATTTCCTTGATATAAAATTTTTTGAAATTGTTTTTATTGTTACTGAATTCGTCATTAGTGTTGTCTTGTCCTTGATCAAGATTCTTGTGAAATAGAGCCCTTATTCCCTCTCCATTGATTTTCTCGTAACAAAAATTTGATTACCCTATCAGTGTCCCTTCTTAGGAAGCTCAGAACGAAAGTTTCAATGAAAGCTTGTCAAGGGAAAGCAATTGTAATAAATCAAAACGTATTGAAATTGATAATGTTGCCTTTCAGATACTTTTGCCAACGGGTTCTCGAGGTTGAGAACCAGTGCAGTAACGTTTCACCTGTCCTCACACCAAATGCGGGCATTCTGCGTACTTCAGTTACATGAGAGTTACGTACGGAATTTATGACCATTATTTTTTATTCGCAGCCATACGCAATTGGTGATCGCTTTGGTGTGAGGGCAACATGAGCATGGTTATCATTTTGTCGTTATCAGACAATTGTTTTGATTATCATCATTATTTATGATTTTAATCAAATCCTTTAATCTATAAAGAAACAAATAATTCACCCACTTGTTACTGACACCTAGTTGTTACTTGGATACTCTAATATGGTACTTGTTAACTCTGTTGTCTTTTACACAAATTGATGGCGAAAACACTGAGAAAACGTTTTCATGTATGACTTTCAACCATCATACAACAATCGATATACTGTGCAAGGTCCGTTGTTCAGGATCAGGGACGACAAAAAAACCCATTCCCGAACAATTTAATGACAGGTAAAAGTATGTACATATTAAATTAATTAACACCTTTAAAACAGTGCTCAATACATAAATTGTGGAGCGATTTAGAAATCAACCTAAAAATACATGTTGTTACTCAGAGTTTCACGCTAGATGATCGTCCCTACTGAAATTGGACAGATGAAATAGATGCCCCACCTGAAATCGCAGTTGCATTCGAACATTTTTTTTGGCCACAAGCAAGATTTAAAGGCTCATAAGAATGGGACTAATATAAATGTTGGACGTGGCACTTTAGTATGTGTAATTACTGCTCCTGCTAGTATATTTGTCGTCGATAAAATTGAAAGACGAGGGGCACGTTACATTTCCAAGCTATGAAATTTGTAGTCTTGATCCATTCCATCTTGACAGCTATCATTTAACTTATACTACTGGTCATTAATCTCGACTAGTCTGAAGTGGACAGTTGACTCACTGACCGGTTACTATCTTTCTTACTATACTACTGGTTTGTGATATACGACTAGCAACATCAAAGCTGGAAACTTCAACCTTCAGTATGAAAGACTTTCCATTTCCTTTGAATGTAGATTAAAACCATATACCCTTTTATTGTGACTGAGATCGCAGATTGCAAAACGTCAAAATTACGTTCGGTTCGTACGAAACTATGTATCATTTCGTATGATCCAGTTTGAAGGAAACTCGAAAAAATAAAGAATTAGATACACTGTTGTTTTTTTTTTTCATTTCCATCACATACTGCAATTAACGTTGCACATTTGTAACGTAGGACATATTCCAAGCTTTACTTTCACAACCCTACTGTTTTACATTCTTATTACAAAAATCCTAATCCCACAGAAATAATGTTCTTTTCTACCATTGGCTGTCATCAAACCGATTAGCCAATTAACAATAAGAGTGACAAATCTTGAATAATGACAACAAATTACAGGTGTCGGGGTTAAGTTTAAAGTTCAAGGACAAGGTATGCAACAAACAGCCTTTTGACAGGAGTTGTGAAAACGTTGGTATACATAATAACTGAATGCCATTAGGTGTTCCAGATGTTAAAGTATATGGTATAGGATCATCTTCTCGTGTAGTAAGGTTGGTGTCCCTTTCCATAACAACATCGCAGATTTTCAGTAAAAGGAACATCGTTTCTTCTTCTTCTTGCAAGAACTTTATTCATTTCAGGATGTCAATTGTCTTTGCATTTTATTGTTCGATGAACGCAGAATTTATGTTCACATGTTACTCGAATGGATTGTGGATGCATTTAGCAATCATGAGTAAATAACCATTCCTCCTGCTTATGCTTTTGGGTTAAAATGTTAACCGCAACCTGTATTCATTGACTTTCAAACCAGAATGATGATCAACAACAACACCTCCTACAATCTAGACAACATCGGTATTGTTATCTGTACGGTAGCCGAAGTGGATTAACAAGGAGTCTATAAGGGTTGAAAATGGTCTTAATATTATCTAAATGATTTACTACTATATACACCTCTCGTACCTTTATCAATTGGGCGATAAACACCGTCTGATAACTTCCTGTTCAGTACTGATAAGGGGAAGACTTCATGGAATTTTGAAGTACTGTTTAATATCGGATTTAACTAATGATCTCTTAAAACTTAGTCTTAAATCGATTTTAAATTTAGTTTTGTTAGGTAGCTATCAGATTTCTGTATTTTTTGATTTCTTGATTGTATTTAATGCCAGCCCAACATTCATGTTTTTATCTTATCTGACTACAAACAGGTTTATCATAACGTCTGACATTTTTACCCTGAACATAAATCAGAAGATATAAATTTCATCACGTTATAATTTGGTGTTGAATTATTCTCCAGAAAATTTTCAAATTTTTATTATTTGATTGTCAAATTTGATAAACTGCAGATCTCTCGACGTCACATTCATGCCAAGGTTGGCTGAGGGACGTGGGTGTTTATTCGTTAATCTAAAGCAGTTCAGAGATCGATTCAGGCAGATTGCCAAACTAGTTCTCATTCCTGTTTCCTTTCGAGGTCCGGGGACTAGAAGATCGATCGACAGTTGGAATAAAAAAAAAAGTTAATACCACTGTTATTAGTCCAACCAAGAACAGAACTATGGGGCATTACGAGAAACTTTTATTTTCATGCCAGATTCCCTTGCTCTTGATTTGGTATTTCAAAGGTTTCTAAACTTATCTGCATCAATTTATTACAGTTGGCAAATAAGGTTATTTCTGTTTGGTGCAGTATCTGTTATCTGGGATGACATAATTGATATAAAATTGAATTTCAAATTAGCGATAATGCTATCATAATATTTTCATTTCTAATTAGGACTGAGTTTTTAATGGTTTTGCACTTGGTTGCGTAATTCTGTTACATTAAATAACTTTATAAGAATTTTTGTGATAACCTTGAAAAAGTTCAGCACGGCATATCCATGCCAGAGATTTTCTTGGGGGCGAGTTGAGAGGGTCATTTTAGCAGTTTATCGGAGTGATATATTATAATTGTAGTCGCATGAATGTGGTGTAGTTGCTTTTTGTGAACGGAAACAGTAAGCATCCATTGATTAGAATTGTATTACAATATAGTAATTTGATAAGGTATCACTATATTATTTTACCTAGACCGGAGTGATATAATTGTAGTGGAATGTGGATGTGAACGGAAGAAGTAAGCGTGAATTGCGTAACATCACTGTATAAAGTTATTTGATTAAGACCCTGGCCTTTCTTTGACCAGGGTGATTACTGGTAACTGTAGTAACCAAAAAAAATTTTGTTCATGAATAGTGGAAGCAAATACTCATTTAGAAATTGAGTTAAGCGCTGTGTATTGCATTATAGGTATATGCTAAAGCACCTCAGCCTATCCTTGACCAGGACTAGGGCGATATCTGGTAATTGTAGTAACCAAACAAGAATGTTGTGCAGTGTTTGTTCATGAATACAGAAGACGCAATCATCCGCTGGTTAGCATCATTGTATTCCACAGCCTCTCTTTGACCAGGGCGATATCTGGTAACTGTAGTATAATAATATAGTTATATGATGAAACAGCCCCTTAGTATTTGACCTGGACCAGGGTGGTATCTGGTTATTGTAATGTAGTATGATGATAAATGAACAATGTTATTGTTTTTAATTACCATGCTAACAGTCTGTTATTGTTTCTGATTAAATTCTCATCATTGTCTCATTATCATTCTTACAACATTGTTACTGATAACCAGGGTCAGGCAGGGGATACTGGAGGTTGAAATGTGGCAGGCTCACTGGAGATTAATAATGAAGAGAATGCATATTGGAATAGAATGTAGAAGTAGACTGGGACACTAGAGGGTGAGGGGGGGGGGGGGGGGGGGTGGATGTGAGGGATTGATAGCCATTTGGTTGTTATGTAAAATATTTTCTTTCGGAGAATTTTAGCACATCTCCTTTGAATTTGACTATTTAAACCGCTTTTCTCTATCTGGTGATAATCGTTCTTAACATATGACGTTATTTTGTGTATTTTGTTATGATGTTGTCTTAGGCAAAATGAAAAGTCCATTGTTATATTTTGGGAGTTCACCGGTAGGTTATCACGGGTTGGTATGTTTCTGAGCAGTTCCAGGGGTGAATTCCGTTCAGATAAGAATATCACTGTAATTAATTTAAGATATTAGACGTGTTGATAGGCAATCTGGTTTATTTAAGGTAAAATTAATTAGCTTATTAGATTAGACCGGAATTCGGATAGAAAAACGTAACGCAAGATTTTTCACGGTTTTAACTGCTATGCTTAACGAATGCATTGTTCTGACGCTCAAAGAATTGGCGAGGCCAATTCTTCGTGAAAAATATAAACGTGGAAACTAATGAAGAAGTCATTAAAAAACGAATCGCCTTTGGACAACTTGTGACTTGTTCTTCTCTATAATGACCTGTAACCTCTCACCTATGACCTTTCATCTGGAAGCAAAGGGAACAATCTGAGCTGGAATAATAGGTGACAAGAGTTCGAGAGTGAGAGAAAAACGGAATTGCCCCGGGCTAGTCAGTTATTAATCATATCTCATTCATATTTAAGTGTGCCTATTGTATTATTGAGATGGTGGACACTCTGTTTCTTTCTTTAAAGCGCGACTTCCTTTAAATACTGAAAGATTCGAATAGGGCAGTATTTCCCGAGATTCCCGTGACAGACAATCGCACTTTCAAATCCAAATACGATACTCTTTGTAACCTTATCACATGCTAACAC